TTATAGTTACAAAATATGTAAATATAAATCTATTTGACGTATAATTATAGATAATTTTAGTATTAATTTTGAATGACATTTAATGTATATTATGTGTCATTATAACATATATCTATACTTTTTAACAACATACTAACATATATTGTATCTATAATGTAAATAAAAGTAATTTTTAGTAGCAAATATTGTGTCACTATAACATGTATATGTAACACTCTACGTTTTTGCTATTAAATTAATTACATATTTTTTTATTATAAAATTAAAGAGTTGATTTTATAAAGCATTTTGTTATTAAATTTTAAATATTTTGATATTTATTTTAATTAATTATATGAGGATGAAAATATAATATATTATTTATTATTATTATTATTATTATTATTAAGATTATTTTGAGGGAAGGAAAAAGGTAACCTTTGTTAGAGGGATTGTAACTGTTGGTTGGGTTAAAAAGTAGTTAAGTTAGTTTTTAAATTAAAGAAAAAAAAAGTCTATTTCTCCTTACGCTTCCATTTTCTTTTACGTTCTAAAGAACTAAGAGGAGAGGAGACAAGGAGAAATCATCTTGAAGACCCACGTTCTTCGCTTTTTGCTGATCGAGATAAGGGAGAGTGAGAATTCTCACTCTAAGGCATAGGGTGATTGCTAGGTAGCGAGGTTGACCTTTGTTAAGTCTCAATTACACTTCTTTTTGGACAAGACATGTTGAACAATTGCACTCATTCTTTGAACCATTGCAATATAATTGTTCTCTTTTTGATTCATTTTGTGTGCAGATATAGTTAACCCAAAATTTAGCTAACAATACCCTAATACACCTCATTTTTGTGTAGGTATTGAGCTAGAGAGTTGAGGATTGAAGACCCATAAGATTGGAAACCTAAAGAGCTAAGGAGCAAAGAAGAGTGACTACGCCGGGCGCAAGATGACCCGCACCGGGCTTGAGTAGAATAGAGTGCCTTATCTCTGCAAGTCATATATGCGCCAGGCGCAAGACTACCCGCGCCGGGCGTGATCGAGACAGAGAGTGACTCAAACTCTCTAGAAGACATTGCGCCGGGCGTAAAAGGAAATTGCGCCGGGTGTGTCCTGAGGCAGATAGTGCTCAACTTCTATGGAAGGCCCTACGCCGGGCGCAAAGACTTATATCCGGGCGCGTAACCCCAATCTGACTCCCTTAGCTCGTATTTGAAGACATTTTCAAGGGTTTCTTCCTCATTCACACATTGGAGCGTTTTAGGAGCTGAGGAAGGGATTCCCGGAGCTTGGGGTCGTTCGTGTGTGGGTCTTTCCTTCGGTTCTTCATTCTCTCTTTATCTCTATTTTTTTGTTTACCCTCATTGTTTTGAGTGGTTCTACGCATTGTTTTGTAGGGTTAGATGTAACCAACGAATTCTATTGTAATCCTTACTTTTTAATGATATATATATATGTTGTTTCATTCATTGTTGTGTATGTTTCTATTCTTAATGCTTGCTTTGGATTGATTCTCCTTGCATGATATAGGTTCCATTGGGTATTGGAAAATAACCTTTGAAACTAGCTCTGAAACAAATGCCTAGTGGGAAATGTATCTAGGAATGGAACTTGGCCCATTAGTAGTCTTAAACCCTAACCCATAATGCGGGTGTAGGTATTGAATACTCAAGGGATTGATATTCATTATCCGCACCTAGGCTCTTGCTCTAAGGGATTAGGTTTGAGTAAACTTATGGGTTGACTAAGCAATGGATGTAACTCGAGATTAAGGATTCATTAGTGTACGTTCGGTGAAATCTAACCCCACAATTTCACAAAAAATAATAATATCATTTCTACCCTTTTCCACTCACAAACAACTATTTTTATAATTTACCCTTCCAGTAGTCATGATCTTAAATTCACATTTGCATGGCAAACGACTAAAATTGAAATTATTCTTTAGTCACGAATAGTCAATAAATGCTTATGTTACCTACTAATCTCTGTGGATACGATAACTTTACTACTTGAACGGCCGATATACTTGTCGTGTTTGAGACCGTTGATAGAACAAAAGTGATTTAAAGTGATAACAAAAATAGTTCAACGGAAAATCTCAACAACCTTCAATCTCTTTGTATTGTATGTGTTGTATGAAAGGAAAAACCTCTATTATTTTTTGTTCTTGTTTGTTGTCCTCCTCATGATTCTTATGCCCCCTAAAGTGTTATGATCGAATTAATTTTGTGGCATTGAGCCCTTTTGGGTATGAATTGAGTTGCTTGTGGGTTCCTATGAGAACCTTAAGAGTATGTGTTGAATAGTTAATGTGTGAGTAGTTAATAGGAATGTGTAATTGTATGCAATTCATGCCTTATGGATGTATTGAATGAGTATTTCAAAGTGTTTTACCGATTAAATTGTTATATGCAAATTTCGGCTCGTAAGATGTATGCTTTGTGTTTCTATAGATTTGGGTTTCTATGATGGCGTCGGGTGTCAAGTGTGTGTCGCACTAGGCGTTGTTGTGCCTGAGAGCAAGTGTGCTCTCTATTTCACTCGCATTGGGCGCGGGTCTTGTGTTGTTGGGCATTATTGAGGTTGAGAACCTCTATGCTGCTCATGTTGGGCGTGAGTTGAGGCTCATCAGGTGCGGGAGCTCTAGGGAACTCCTTGTTGATATCTCAATAGGTGTGATAAGAATTACGTCGACTGTGGATTAACTTTTGTTGGGCATCACCTCATGTAAGAAACTTGTTCTTTTACTCAAATGAAAATGGATTCATTGAGTGATTCTAATGCATGATGAGTGTGAAATAAACATGAATATTATTAATGTATTTATTGAATGAAATACTCGAATTGTGTTTGTTAAATGGTATGTATGGCATTGTAAATAACAATTATAAGCTTGAAAAATCGTATGTATGACAAATCATATGTGTGATAAATCGTTGAGTATATGTAATGATTCATAATATGATAGAAAGTCTATG